CTAGTATAGGCTATTACACCTCTTAAGTGTTCCTTAATCTAGGCGCTCTTCTAATATCTAAATAAATTCTTCTTCTACTACCTTAGTAACTAGGAAACTGCGTATTTGCTATACTTTATATAGGATTATCTTTATTTAGTAAGGTAGGCTAATATTTTAAGTAATATGTCTACTTTCTCTAAAGTTAAAGGTAATAGCTACTTCTCTATTAAGAATTATTTCTTAAAATAGAGTCCTTTCTACTACTAATAAGTCTAGACTAAATTTCTATTCTTGTATCCTCTTAGTAGTTAGCCTAGACCCTCTTAGAAATAATGTATATCTTTTCTTAAAAAGATAGTTAAAAGGGCTAAGGTTAACTCTTTCGCAAATACTAAGCTTTAGTAGTTAGTTTTCCTTAGCTACTATATTCTAGTCCTCCCTTCTAAACTCTATATCCTTATCCTTCTCTTTTAGGTTATCTACTAGTTAGATTTTCTTGCTAACCTCTTTATACTTAGTGCTTACCTTAGTAACTATTTACAGTACTTTTTATTATGTACCTTAATTTAGCTTATATATTACTAATATTAGGTTTAGCTCTTAGATAGCCTATAGGTCTTTGCTTGCCCCTACACTATATCCTATAGTTTATGCTACCTATTTTTCTAGCATCTTTTTATCTTCTAAGGTAAATAATTATCTATATTTACTAAATCCTACTTATAGCTCTATATAGTCTACCTCTTATAGAAATTTTAAATATACTATATATTCTACTATATAGCACTTATCTCCTAGGTATTAATTTTATAGGATCTCTTTCTTAAGTAAGGGTCCTACTATTAGTTTTCTAATTTATTAACCTCTTCTATTTTATCTTTATCTTCTAGCTTTAGATCTAAGGCTATAAAGACTGTATTCCTTTCCCTATCTAAGGATAGCACCTAGTAGGTAACCCTCCTATAGATATTGTACTAAATAGCTAGCCTAGTAGAGGTACACTATAGCCCTCCTAATATAGCTAAGCAGGTTAGGTTTGTAATTACCCTAAAATAAGTTAGGGTCTCTACTTCCCCTATATATACTAGCATATTCCACGCAGTTCTAATAAATAGGTCTATCCTACTATTAGCTATAACTACCCCCTATATATATCCTAGGGTCTAGGCTAGTATCTTAATAGGTACCTATAACGCCTATATAGCACTTAATCTTAAGAGATTTATTTATACCCTTATATTAATTAGGTAGTTTACTATATTCCCCCTTATACTAGTCTAGTATATTAGTAGTTTTATATAGAGAGTTATCTAATTTAATTCCTAGTTAGCGTAAGACTTATCTTTTTCTTCTTATATAACTAAATCTTTTCTATACCTATCTAAGTTTTATTTAAATTAGAGCCTTACCTATATATTATATACTTCTAGTATTACGCGTATATTACGCTAACCTAGCGTAGGGTTCTTTACCTCTATCTCCTCTAATTAGTTAATATAGCTAAAGGGTAGAACTAGCGCACCCTTTAGATACCTATTTAGGACTAGCGCACTTTCTAGGCCCCCTAGCTCTGCAATATTTACCCTACTAAAGTAGTTATTATTATCTAGGATATAAGTCTAGGGGTCCTGTAATAATGTCTTAATTTGTTCCTGTAGATAATCTTGCCCTAGTAGGTTAGCTACTATAATTCCCTATACTTCCTACCTAAGAAAAGCAGCTGCTATTTATTTTAGGCTTAGGCGCATTATTCCCTTAAGCTTCTTATCCTTTACTTCTTTAAACTATACTTTTCTTCTTATTACTAGTAGGTCCTAATTAGGCCCTAAATTTATATAGCCTTTACCTATACTATTTAGTAGCTAGATTGTTGCAAAAGGGTCTATATAGGCCTAAGCTAGGTATAGAATCTCTAGGGTTTCTTTAAGTTCTATCTCTTTACTTTCTCCCTCCTCTCTATTTATTAGGTTTTGTAGAAGTCTTTATTACCTGTGCTTCTAGATTAATCCCGCCCTTACTTCTTCTAAGACTTAATCCCTTTGCTTTTCTTTCTCCCTTATAGAGGCGTGGATCCCTAGTGTATTCTTATCTGCTAATCCTAGGATAATATATCTTAAGTCTACATAATCTAGTGTTATTACTACTAGGTCTTCCTTATTAGGTTATAGCATTTAATAGTTTAAGAACTGCTTATATTCTTTTTAAGTATCTACTAGTTCTAATCCTTAATTCTAGGAAGATATTATATTAGCCCCCACTCTTTTTACCGCTAGGTAGTCTAGTCCTTAAGTCTGCCTCTACTACTAGCCTCTTAAATCTATCCTATTAAATAGTTCTAGCTTAACCTATAACGCTAGCTAGCTAAGGATATCCTTAGTAACTTTATAGTATTTACGTAACTTTTACTTTATCTAGTAAAGTATATAGTTCTATAGTACTAGCTTAGTTACTTACCCTAGTCTTTTATATAATAGTCTATAGTAAAATATCCTAGTCCTTATTTCTAGATTCTAGGAAGTGCTTACCTACTCTAGCGCTATAAGTTCTAGCTAGGGGGGGTAGTCCCTTACTAGGTAGGTTTCTAATCTATATATATTATAGGTAGGTGGTTTCTTATTATACCCCCTATAACTCTATAGCCCTAGCTAAGTAGTTAATATTTATATAGGGCCCTAGGTTCTTAGCTAGTTTATTAGTAACCCTCTAATTACTATAGTATTCTAACGTATTCCTTACTCTATCCTAGCGTTAGTTATATATAAAATAAGGTAGAGCTAGTTTACTAGGCTTTTTAGTAGTAGGCCTATTATATAGTATTCCTATAGCCTATTAGCCTTAGCTAAACTTATCTTTATTTTTCCTAGTGCCCTAATTAACTAGTCTATCTCTAGGTTAACGTTTAGTAGTAGCTAGGTAGTAGCTTGCTCCTTTCTAACGCCTTTTGCTACCTGTATAATTTCCTCCTTTATAGGCGTAGCTTTTACTAATTCTAATATCTAATATGCCTACTAAGTATCTTCCTCTATTTAGCTAGCTAATATATATTTTATTCCTTCCCTCTACTAATAGATTCTTTTAACGTAGGTATAGATCTTCTCTAGCCTATAGCTTACTACTTTATTACTATTAGGCCCTTATAGTATACTAAGCAAGACTAGCTCTTTATCTACCTAGGGTAACGCTTTAAAGAAGAAGAATCTAACTTTGCTTTTATATAGCTATTTAGATACTAGGTAGGTATTACTATACACTATAAAATTAGTATAGTAGTCTAAGAGCCCTAGGAAGCTTCTAGAGGCCTCTTATATATACGCATCTAGGAAGGTTTAGGTACCTATCCTTTAGGCTATATCCTAGTCCCTCTAGTGCTCCTTTATAGCTTCCTACAGCTCCTTCTAGTCTTGCTTCTAGTAGGGTCTAAGCTTCTTTATAAATGTTCTATATATAGTATTACTAAAGTCTAGTAGAATTTTTAGCTAGTCTACTTTATCTAGCCCCCTATTTTCTACTTAGTAGTTATAGTTATCTAGGAACTCTATAACCTCCCTCCCCTAGAACAAAAAGTTAGTTTTCCTAGGCCTTATAGGGACAAGGACTCTTCTTAGAGGTCTAGAGGATTCTATTTTAGTTAACCCTAGGGTAATATTACTTTCTCTAGGTATTATTCCTAGTAAAAAGGATAAGCTTAGCTAAGGTAGTAGGCTTCTATAAATATTAAAGGAGGTGTATAAATTAGTAATATTAATTAAAATTATTAGATAATTTAGTATCTGCTTGCTTATATTACTTCCCTTCTCTCCTATCTCTTACTTTTATAGACTACCTCCTCTTCCTTAGTAGCTATATCCCTAAAACCCTTCCTAAATAGTGCTAGCACTTATATTTATTTTTAGTAGATTCTTGTTATATTAGTAACTTTAGCCTAGCCCTATTTTCCTGCTAATAGCGTATACTATCCTATAGCCTTTGCTATAGCTTTTTTATTAGTAGTAATATTCTAGGTGTTCTAGCACTTGTAGTATTGCTAATACTTCTTGTAGTTCTAATTATTCTAATAGTTCTAGTTATTCTAGTTTTAGTTATTCTAGTTCTAGTTATTCTAGTTATTCTAGTTCTAGTTGTTCTAGTTCTAGTTATTCTAGTTGTTCTAGTTCTAGTTGTTCTAGTTCTAGTTATTCTAGTTCTAGTTTTTCTAGTTCTAGTTCTAGTCGTTCTAGTTCTAGTTGTTCTAGTTAGCCTCTTAGTGTTATTACTTTAGTCCTACTAACGCGCGTTAGCCACGTCCTAATATAGGCCTACTATTTTTGCCTTAACAATGTTAATTATTAACACCACCTATTTTCTATAATAACTTAGGTAGGTAGGGCATCCAAAAGGTATCCTATATAACTTAAAGGCATATAGGAGTGCGCGTCTGTATAGAAAAGGATAAGATTCCTACACCTATAGGTCTTGTACAAAAGGATAAGAAGAACATGCCTATTCTAATATACGTGAGCTGCTCTCTATATACTTTAGTAAGTTAGGCCTTTGTTAGGCCTAACTTAGCATGGAACAATAGGCGAGCAATTCTGCCTTATTGTTACAGACTTTAAGTAAAAATATAGGTTAGTAGGGATATAGGTATAGGTTAGATCTTAGGGTTATACAAGCTTATAATTTAAGCTATAGCAAAGGTTATGTAGTTAGGTAATAGAAGCTTAAAGCTTACTCCTTATAATATCCTAACAAGCAAGCGCATAGACGCGCTAAACCTAATATGGTAGTTATATAGATTACAATAAATAAAAGATCTACCTATATCTAGGGGGTGTGTTATAGGAGGGATAATAACTAGATTGTAGAGCATCTTAATCTAATTAACTAATCTAAATCCTAATTAATATCCCTACAACATTTTGGTATAATAATGTATTGTTGTAGACGCAATTTGCAGTAAAAGTACTATATCTCATATAATGTAATAACGTAGGAAAGGATATTCAAAGGGGGTTGAGCATAATTAGTGGTATATAGGATTACGCCTTGGTGCAAAGGTTATCCTTATCACATATTTTCTACAAGAGAATTAGTAAGATAATTAAAAAAGGTAAGGGGAGCCTACGCCAATCTCCAATAAAGCTGAATCGCACATTAGTGTGTCTGTCTCCAACACGGATAAAAAAAGTTGTCGACCTTGCAAAACCGCTTCGACCAGAACCCAGGGCCAACGCCCTTGCAACAGAACGAAAGCCAGGGTCAACATTGGGTTCCAAGTCAGATTCAGCCAAAAATTGACCGTTTATATTAATAGGGCCAGTAATTTGTACTTCAAAGGTGACTCGATAGCCGTTGCCTATTGATGGTTCTCTCCACATTCGATACTCAAGGTTGTGATTCCTGTCGCCATGCGTCCATTGGGTCAAAGGTACAGTATTGCGGGGATTTCCACCAGGCGGAGTGACAACAGGCGGATAACCTGCGGAGAAAGGTATTTCGTGGGTGGTGTCGATGTCAATCCTGATTCTAGGCAGACCAGCTGGGGCTGGGCGATAGTACGAACACTGCGCGGTCCCCCTTGGCTGTAGAAATGGATTGTCGAGTGGCGCGCACAAGGCGGCAGCAATAAATATTGCTATAAACCAAAGCATTTAATGATTGGCAATGTATGAATTAAACTTGAGTATTGACTGATGTTGAAAGTCTTTGATTTGGTTGGGGTAGTGGTAGACGGCGAGCAGTACAATAAATGAGATCGTTGGTAGGAGATGAATGAGTGAACACGAATTCATGAAGTAATGTGGGAGACGGGCTGTAAATTTATAGAGCTTAAGATTGTTTATAATAATTATCCTAGCAAAAGTATAAATGAATTTTAAGCGAAAGGTCTAGAGATAGAGTTTAGTAAGATAGTAAGCACTAATATTATTGTTGTAGAAAAGAGAACACAAGCTTGATCTGTATCTCTTTTCTACATATCTCTTTTCTGCTTACCTAATCTCTATAAAGATCTGCAGTTCTCTAATCGCTAAGCTAGCTAAAGGTACATCTTAAGGCTAACTTATAGCAAATATTATTCGTCTAGGTTGCAATAAGCTAAATGTCTAGGTTACAAGCCTGCTAAACCTATGTTAGCGCTTGGCGTAATTTATACAATTAGGGTTTGGGCAAGGGTAGGGTCCTATAGATAAATTTAGAGAAAATCTTGTCCCCTAGTATACTACATGCTAAGCATGGGCCAAGCGCTAATATTAGGTCAGCAGGCTTATAACCTAGATATTTAGCTTATTATAACCTAGACAAACATCGTTTACCCTAGCTTATCCCTTAACAAAGCTTAGGCTGAAACAGAGCATAGGTATACTTATTAAGACTACTTAGATTACTAATAAGGCGGCAAATGGGTATTAGTTAGGTTAGGGTTAGGTCTACCTATGTTAGATAGTAAGCGCTACCCTAATTAAACCTAATTCTTTCGCACAGGCTATAGGCTAAGATTAGGTCTTATATACTATGGTACTATGCAAAAGTGCTTACTATGGGTCTACTTGCAGGGGTAAAGTAGGGCCGTGCTTACGGAGATTAGAAACACTATATTCTAATACTTTTCATGCAAATCCATAGTAATTTGTATAGTAATCAATGCACCCCTAAGTTTCTTGATGTTTCTATCTCTTAGTCCTTAACCCCTATTACTACCCCTACTGCCACCTCTACCACCACCTCTACCACCACCTCTACCACCACCTCTACCACCACCTCTACCACCACTTCTATCACCACTATCTATCACTACTATCTATCACCACTATCTATCACTACTATCTATTACTACTATCTATTACTACTATCTATCACTACTATCTATTACTACTATCTATCACTACTATCTACTATGTCTCAAACACTAGTTACACCACCATCTACACTAACCTAAAAGCACTAAACCTGGCGATATCTATCCTATTAAGTCTATCTAGAATTAGATGAAAGATTAGATTAAATTCTACTATCTAGACCTACCTATAGGGCAACAGCCCTTATATAAACGACTACGAGAGATTGTGCGCGCAGCCTAGGACTTAATCACACCTAATTAGCTCTAATTACTAGTAAATAGTATAAGGGCTCGCTGCTAGGCAGTAATTAAAGCCTAAGGTAGGCACACTAAGTATTAAGAAACTTTAAGAAATGAATATATTACTGTATCACCCTAATCTAGTATAGTTAGATACAGGGGTGGCTTAGGCGCCCTATAGGGGAGCGCATATGCCTAATACCATAGTAAGTAGGTATAGGTTAGGTTAGGCTAAAATAGAGCATAGGTATGCTTAGTAAGACTCCTTAGATTACTAATAGGGTAGCAAATAGGTATTGTGCTATAGCTTGGGTAGATAATCAAAAATAAGGCTTAGCCTAAAAGGGAAGGATAGAGGTATAAGGGAGTGGAGGATTAGGGGATAGATAGGATACCTCTTTACTACTCTATTTTACTTTATATAAATAAACTCTCTTCTATTTAATCTAACCCTTATAATATATTATTTACTACGAGATATCTACTATTAGACTCTATCCCTCCTCCTTTTCCTTGTTTAAATAGGTTACTCTCCCTAACAGATTAGTATTAGTTAGGTTAGGGTTAGGTCTGCTTATGTCAGATTGTAAGTTCTACCCTAACGAAACCTAATTCCTTCGCATAGGCTATAGGCTAACGTTAGGTCTTATATATGTAGGTATAGGTAAGGTTAGGGTTATATAGGCTATTAGCTTAGGTTATGTTTAGGCTACTATTATTCGATTATTCTATAATAATTATCTAGAATTAATATATATATAGCCTATATAGCCTAAACCTTACCTAAGTCTCTAGCCTATATAACCTTAACCTAATCTAATACCTACGTAGTATAGGGCTACATACTAACATAACTTTGCTAGTCTAATTACTAATTTTCGCTAATATATAGTCTTGCTCTTTCTAGATAGGTCCAATCTAATTGTGTATTACCTCACTATTCCTAATTTTATATAAGTATGTCTAGGAATATCTAACTAATTGAAAGATAGATTGGCCTTAGGCTAATAGCCTAAGAATCTAAAGAGCTTATAATAAATTCTAGGGTAGTAAATAGGTTAAGCTTAAGTTTAGGTTATGTTAGGGTCGTCGCAGCCATAGGTATAGGTTACGTTTACGAGTTAAGGGCGCGATGCTGTCGTTACAACCCTAACATGATCTATATCTATGGCTATTGCGACCCTAACCAAAATCTTAACCTATCGCAAGGTATAGAGGTAACCTTTAAAAGTTTTTGCTAACAGGGGTGTCTTTATTACCGCTGTAATACTACTAAAGCTTAGACTTCTTAGCTACGCTACCTATCCTTATACTTATTACTACTTTTAAGTCTAATAATTTCCTTAATATAATACTATATACGCTGTATCTAAGCCTAGATTTAGTATTAAGGTAGCTTATCCTAAGCCTTTAATTAAACTTTTATACTATTTACTCTACTCTTAAGAGCGGCCTTCCTAGTAGTTCTCTACTTAAGCTAGAGCTAGTGTAACAATAGGGCAAAATTGTTTGCCTATTACTACATACTAAGTTAACCCTAATAATAGCCTAACTTGTAGATTTATATAGAGAGCAGCTCGCCTATACTAGAATAGGTATATTCTTCCTATCCTTTTATACAAGACCTATAGGTGTAGGAATTGTATCCTTTTCTACATAGACGCGCACTCCTATATGCCCTTAAGTCGTATTAGATACCTTTTAGATGCCCTACCTACCTGCGTTGTTACAGCTAGGCTACTTTAATAATGTTAAGGTTAAATAAATTACTATACTAAAGAAGCTTCTCTACTCTCTGTCTCTTATATACTAATTATTAGGCATAGTAGGTATATAAAGGAGCTTTATTCTCTTAAACTATAATATATAGTCTCTCTTTCTTATACTTCTTAGTAAAGGGGATAAGCTTAAGATTAGAATTTCCCTTTAATAGCGCTACTAATCTATACCTCCTCTACTATTATAAAAAAGATTACTAGTTTTTTTACTCTATTTTTATTGTAAAGTTTTGCCTAGCTTAATCTTTGAATCTTACCTTCTTTTAGGGTGGTAAATAGGTATAAGTTAGGTTAGGGTTAGGTTAGCTTATGTTAGACCCTAAACCTAACCCAAACCTAACCACAAATGTTCGCACGGGCCATGGGCTTAGGTTTGGTTTGGGTCGCACAGGCTATAGGCTTAGGTTAGGTATAGGTTACAAAGGCTATAGGCTTAGGTAGGGGTAGGGGTCTGCTAGCTTGGGGTTGGGGTTAGGTTTAGGTCGCATAGACCTAGTGCTTAGGTTAGGTTTAGGGTCTTACCAAGCCACACGCTTTACCTAATAGGGTTAGTTACTATAATTAATAACTGTGATAAATAGTTATATTTCTAGGAGTATAGCCTATTAATACCTGCTTACGTAAGACCCTAGTTAAGCACTAGGTCTATGTAACCTAAACCTAACCTAAGCCTATAGCCTGTGCAACCTAAACCTAACCTAAGCACTAGGTCTATGCGACCTAAACCTAACCTAGTACCACAGCTAGCGTACACTAACCTAGATTTACTAGCCTACCTTCTTTATACTAGTAATAAGCTTCTACTTCTATTATAGAATAGGCTTAAGACTTTTATTTATCTCTTTAATCTTAAAAGCTACTTCTCTCTTCTCTAATATAGTCTTAGGGCACTAGATATAGTATAGGCTCTTATAATTACAAGAAAAGTAGCATTAGAATATAAACTTAGAGTAGCTTTTCTACTACTTATAAATAATAGTTAGTAGAAGCCTTATTAGGTTTTCTCTAAATATTGTAGCTACTATAGTAGTAGTTAAGTATACTAAAGGTCTTATTAAACTAGATAATATTCTTCTTGTCGTTTAGAGTCTAGCCTTAAAAGCCTAGATACTACTTAAGTCTCTTTTATTTAATCTTCTTTATTAACCTAGGCTTACTTATAGGCTTTATCTTATGCTATCCTACTACTTTTAGGACTCTTTATACTATAGTTAATAACATATTATATTTATAAAGACTAAGATTACTAGCTATATTACTAGAGCTCTTCCCTTTTCTATATCTATCTTAGTATATTTATAAAAAAGTAGTATTGTAAATAGTATTATACTTATAAGGGTAGCTAGTATAAAAGGTGTTATAGACTAGCCTTAAGGGAGAATGCAATAAGCGTTAATAATAGTATTTAGTATCTTAAAGGAGAGGTTAGCTCTCTACGCCTTTTTATAGGTGTGTAGCGTGTTCGCTTAGTAGTAGTGTTAGACTCTGTCTATCTTGTGTTAGGCCTAGGCTTAGGCATAAGCCTAAGCCCTTCACAAAAGGCGTCTTTAAGGTACTTAAGAAGGCGTTTTATTATAGGTAAATTAGGCTTAAAGCTATATTAGTTAGCTCTACTATAGATTAAGTTAATAGTGTGTAGTAAAATACCTATAATAGTACTAATTTAGGTAGTAGATTTGCTACTAAAAGGTAACTTTAACATTATAATAAGCGTATAGGCATAGAGATTAGTATTAAGAGCTATAGTAAAATAAAAATACTAAAAGATTAATTATATAGACTATTGCTACTACTATCTATAGCTTTCAAGATATTTACGTAGGCTAAGAAAGTTAGGCTAATAGATTAGCCGCTAACAAATATAGTAGCAAGAAGTTTTGAAAGTTACCTCTATACCCTAAATCTAACTCAAACCTACACTATACCTATTTACTACCTTAGATGGTTTCTAATTAGACTCCTCTATTTAGACCCCTCTAGCACCAATGTAGCTAAGACGTTGCTTAGACCCCTCTACCTAGACCACTTTAGGGCTGCTTCCGCTTCCTTGGCTTAATATTAGGTTTCGCCCAAGATGTTTAAGCCCGCCTCTAGCGCACAGTACTTAACACGGCCCCTACCTCTACCTAGACTACTTAAGGGCTGCTTCCGCTTCCTCGGCTTAATATTAGGTTTCGCCCAAGATGTTTAAGCCCGCCTCTAGCGCACAGTACTTAACATGGCCCCTACCTCTACCTAGACTACTTAAGGGCTGCTTCCGCTTCCTCGGCTTAATATTAGGTTTCGCCCGAGATGTTTAAGCCCGCCTCTAGCGCATAGTACTTAACATAGCCCCTGCCTCTACCTGGACTACTTAAGGGCTGCTTCCGCTTCCTCGGCTTAATATTAGGTTTCGCCCAAGATGTTTAAGCCCGCCTCTAGCGCACAGTAATTAACACGGCCCCTGCCTCCACCTAGACTACTTAAGGGCTGCTTCCGCTTCCTTAGCTTAATATTAGGTTTAGGGTGGTAAATCTAGGTTAGTGTACACTAGCTGTGGTACTAGGTTAGGTTTAGGTCGCACAGGCCATAGGCTTAGGTTAGGTTTAGGTCGCTTGGACCTAGTAGTTAGGTTAGGTTTAGGCCGCATAGGCTATGGGCTTAGGTTATGGTTAGGTCACACAGACTATAGGCTTAGGTTAGGGTTAGGTTACATAGACTATAGGCTTAGGTAGGGTCTTATATAAGTAGGTATTAATAGGCTTTAATAGCCTATACTACTAGAAATATAACTATTTATTATAGTTATTAATCACAGGAACTAACCCTATTAGGTATTAATAGGCTTTAATAGCCTACACTCCTAGAAATATAACTATTTATAACAGTTATTAATTATAGGAACTAACCCTATTAGGTAAAGCGTGTGGCTTAGTAAGACCCTAAACCTAACCTAAGCACTAGGTCTATACGACCTAAACCTAACCCCAACCCACTTAAGTAAGACCTAACCTAAGCCCAAGGTCTGTGCGACCTAAACCCAACCCCAACCCACTTACGTAAGACCTAACCTAAGCCCAAGGTCTGTGCGACCTGAACCCAACCCCAACCCACTTACGTAAGACCTAACCCAAGCCCAAGGTCTGTGCGACCTAAACCCAACCCCAACCCACTTACGTAAGACCTAACCCAAGCCCAAGGTCTGTGCGACCTAAACCCAACCCCAACCCACTTACGTAAGACCTAACCCAAGCCCAAGGTCTGTGCGACCTAACCCTACCCTAAGCCTATAACCCGTGTGAAAATTTGTGGTTAGGTTTAGGTTAGGTTCAGGGTCTTACATAAGCCAACCTAACCCTAACCCAACCTATACCCATTTACCACCCTAATTAGGTTTCGCCCAAGATGTTTAAGCCTGCCTCTAGTCTAATTATAAGTCGCAGCCCATAATAAGAGGTGTGGGTTATAGTAATTAACCTATTCTGCAAGATTTGTACATTTTTCATATACGATTCATAGCGCTAAGAACTAATTTACTAGGCGGCTAAGGTGCCCTAACAAGGGCGAGGACAGTTATTCTACTATGGCTAGGGTAATTAGTAACTCCCCTTGTCCTTGCGTCTAATTGTAGCTTACTATTATAGATTGGCGTAAGCTTACTCTTTACCCTAGCTATTAGCCTGTGTGAGCACAGCCTGACCACAGCTAATAGGCCGTGTGAAGGTACCTAACCTAAGCTATAGGCCCGTATATATTTAACCTCCATCTTGATACTTGCAATCTAATAATCTGTTTCTTAATCCATTCCTAACCTCCTTATTATCTACTTTCAACATAACATTTAAGTCCTTTTCCTTAGACCATGGATTAAACTATTAACAAAAAGCTTTCCAACATATATACACCTTTGGTTCTTTAAATAGCTTTCACTATTTAACATTTCTATCTGCCTAATTCAAAAAGCGGCCTTCTCGACACATCTTCTACCCCACCTTTAGTCCATCCTTTTCTCAACAGAGATATACTCAGATCACGATGCACTTCATGGTTCTCCCCCTAGTAGCCTCGTTTCTGTGAGCGCAACAAAAGCTAATAATTCTGAACATACATCGCTTATAATTAATAGCCGCCTGTCCTTTGCAGACTTGCACGACTTCTGCGCTTGCCAATACGGGACCAACTCTCGTGTTGACATGGCGGCTACTGCCCTTGTCGCTTTCAACTGTGGAAATCCGTATACCTTTGGTATAGACCATGCTGCTTATCTACATTCAAAAGCTAACAATGTTAGCTCAAGCGAAAGATCAGTTCTGGATTGGCCGACACTCTGGACCAGGGCCTAGATTTCAAGGAGCTTTTGTACGTTCTCCCTGTCTAGGTCCAGAACGCATGCATAACATATCTAACTCGTGACAATAGCTGAAAGCAGAAACAGGCCGCATTGATGGGGATAAGTTTCATAATGCTTGCCTGGAAGACAGTGGAGGAGCTTCAACATGTTTCAACTGCGGTTCGATACAGGAGAACACTGACGGCTCTATTATTTGTCTTAGGTGAACAACATAAGTTATTGCTCTACACATCGCGCCGCTTCTCTTAACTTCCTCACCTGCTCTCTTAACTTCTATTATAACGCTACGATAGTCCATGCAATTAGATATTGTTACAGCCAGGATACTTATTGGATTACAGAGCCACTTGATATAATTAATATACATAACCCTAGACTCATACACTTTACTAATTAAGTGTTAACCTACTGCAGGCTTACTTGTACGTACCCCAGGAGAAAATAGAGCTCTAGTATGGAAGGCTTACCAATTACAAAGCTTAAGGTAAGGTAGCTGAAGCTGTATATAAGATGTATCATAGATATAATGTTGCAGGAGGGATAACAACCGGATCACGGAGCATCATGATTGAATTAATCCCGATCAATCCCGATCAATAAACCTGTAACGACGCAGGTAGGTAGGGCATCCGAAAGGTATCCTATACGACTCAAAGGCATATAGGAGTGCGCGTCTGTATAGAAAAGGATAAGATTCCTACACCTATAGGTCTTGTATAAAAGGACAAGAAGAATATACCTATTCTAGTATAGGTGAGCTGCTCTCTATATATATTAGTAAGTCAGGCCTTTATTAGGCCTAACTTAGCATAGAACAATAGGCAGGCAATTCTGCCTTATTATTACACTACCCCCTCCTATAGAGAAAGGATAGTCCCTATCCTTAGGATTAGGTTTAGATCCCTTATTAAAGAAGAGCTTTTTGCAAAATAAATCCACCTTTACCTCTACCTTTACCTTTACTTCTTCTTCCTAGGGCACAGACCCCTATCCCTAGCCTATGTATAACTAGCCCTCTACCTATTAACTTTCTTATTCCTATATCCCCTATTTTTTAATTATTTAACCTAATCTATCTAAAATCTAGTAAGTATTTAATCTATATAATTAAATAGTTACTAATCTAAATTAGAACCTTTAGCTATGCTAGTACTAGTACTACTAGGAGTCCTCTCTATTGCTTATCGCGCTCTCTATATAAGGGCAGTTAGGGCTCTAGCTAGGGGCAGGTTTAACAATTTTAATTTTAAGTTAAAGAATTCTAAGAAGTGCTAGTACTATATCTCCTAGAATAAGTATTATAATCTAGTAAGTATCTAAGTCTAATAGGGTTCCTTTACTAATCCTAGTAGATTCCTTCTTTTATTAGCTAAGAGTACTCTACCCTTAGGGGTGCTCTAGATAAGTACTATAGCCTAGTAGCAAACCCTACTAAAGGGGATAAGGATAAGGAGGCTGTGGTTACTTATTAGAAGGATATTAAGCAGTTTAAGGCTACTATTTAAGAAACTACTTAAAACCTTACTAAGTGCGTTACTATTACTAATACTTAGACTAAGGGTATAGAAGCTACTAAGATCCTTATAGCTACCTATTATACTACTATATCTAATTCACGTTAGCTTTAGAATAGTATTTATAAGATAGTCTTAGTAGTTAAGGGCTTAATAAAGGCTATTAATAAACTTAAGAAGGAATTAGCACTAAATTAGGAGGCAACTTTCCTAGTGTAGGCTAAGATAAAAGCGTTCTATAAGAAGGAGTCTAAATTAGTCCTAGCTCCTACCCCTACTCCTACACCTGCTCTAAACCCTAATACACTAGTTATCTAGAAGCTAGCAAAGAAGGATAGTCTAGGCGCTATCTTAGCTAATACAGAGTCTAAACTAGGTTCTAATAGAGAGATAGATATAGAATAAAGAGGTTTCCTAGGGGTAGTGTCCTAGGAACCTTAAAGGTTCTATAATAGTTCTAAATAGGATATAATAATAAATAGTAATAAGAATAATAGTAATAGATAGTAGTTAATAGATAATATATAGCTAAATAAGATATAGATTAGTTCTAATATTAGGTATAATTATTATAAAGTAATATTAGATCCTCTTTGCCTTTTTCCTAGGCTTAAATCTATTTTAGTAAGCTACGTAAGGGACCTAGCTAATTTAGATACTATTAGTAGAATACCTATAATCTATAGGGAGCACCTATAAAGTTAGAGGCAGGATACTAAACAGGATTAGGATTATATCTAACCTACTTAACCTTATATTTTAGCTTAGATTAATATAATTTGCTAGCTAGGATTTCTTCTACCTTCTATTCCTCTATACCTTATATAGGGGTACTAGGGGGTTTTAGAGCCTCTTATCTAGGCAACAGGTCTTAGGGATCTTTATATAGTATATTAGGAGAGAAAACGTTATAGATCTTAGAACTAGGTAGCAATTAGAGGTAATACGCATTTCCTACTTATTCTAATACCTTAAAGGGACCTTCCTATTATTTAGATAGTTTTTAGCTAGGTTATAAAATAGCAAGATTAGTAGTAGATAGATAAATATAGTTACTAACCTTCTAGTTAACTAGATAGTAATAGTAATTAGTAGCAGAGCGTATTTAGTCTTAAGCTCTTTCTATATTTTCTTTAGCAATCTTCTAGGTATTGTGTATCTAAGTAGCAAGGGATAAGGCGTCCTTATAGTTTAGTTTCTCTAGTATAGTAGATAGGGTCTTTTCTAGTTTCTAATACTAACTTTGCTTTAGTAAGGAACTAAAGAGGAGCTAATATAGAGCTATGCTAATAGATAAATAAGGAAGAGTACTTTAGGCACAGTCTATTATAGGTAGTAGGTCGCTCTAGTTATCCTAGTAATAGGATACAAAAGGCCTTAGTCTCTAATTAATATACTTATTTATAATCTTAGTTTATCTATTAGTTTATTTATAGTAGGTAGTAGAGAGCTTAACTTTAGTGCCTATAATCTAATAGAACTTAGACTAGAAACTAGATACAAACTAAGGGCCTTAATTAGAAACAATAGTATCTAGAGTGTGTCTAAATTAGTACACCTACTAAATAAATAAGGTAGCTATACCTTAGGCGTCTATAGTTTTATAGCAAGGGATAGTAATAGCTTGCTTTAATAGGCGATTAATAATAACTATAATCTAATTATAACCACGTTAATCCTAGGGAAAATCCTTAAAATTAATGCACAGGTGTTGCATTAGTAGACTAGGGATAGGAAAGGGGTAGAGTATGCTAGGGAGTTAGTGCTATCTTAGGTGCCCTCTCCTATATAGGATACAGTTCTAAACGTAGCGTTTATAGGTAGTCTCTATACCTTTCTAGTAGTAATATTAGGCTAGAATCTAATAGGTTTTAGTAGCTAATAGGTAGGTAGTAGACACTTAATTATAAGCCTTACGAATTAGTCTAGTACATAGGACTAATCTAGCAGGCACGTAAAGTTAATCCTAGTAGAGAAGGAGTCTATTTTCTATCTAATAGTGCTTAGGCAACTTTAATCTTTCTATTAGGAATAAGGACCTATTTTCTTAGAGAAGAGTTTTAATAAGTTCTAGGATATCTACAGAGTTAAATAGAAGTTCTAAACTACTATAATTAAAGCAAGGATTAGTAAGGAACACTTAGCAAGGTAGTCTTGCGCTAAGTTAGAGTTAATTTAGGGGTATAACCTATCTAGGGTAATTATTACTTATAAACAATTATCCCTCTAAGTAGTCTTAAGGTTAACTATATCCTATTCCCTTCTACTTAGGATATCCACTTAGGCGTTATAAGATCTAGGAGTATACTTAATTTAGAAGTTAAAGGGACTTATAACCTCTAGCTATCTAGCTTGCCTAGCACTAAGGACTTTAGTAGATATAAAGTACTCTAGTGCTCTATAGTCTGTGTATACTCTAATAAGGTGCTAAGTACTTATTAGGTTAGCACGCTATTTCTTAAAGGCGTAGATTATTATAAACAATTCTTTATTATAGATTTCCTAGTTAAGTTTAGAACTAGTAAGGGTATAACTAAAGAAGGATATAGGGTACTATTTCCTATTAGGGTGCTCCTATAAGAGGATAGCTGCAATAACTCTATTAGAGGCGTCTATCTCTAGTTTTAGAGGGTACTTAGGATAGAAGTAAGCTAAGCTTAGGATTGCTAGAAGGGCATTCCTAAGCTAGTTAAAGGCTTATTAGCATTCCAAAGTCTATATAAATAGGGTAGTAGGGCTCTAGAGAGTAGTTAAGGGCTTAGCTATCTTAGAGAAGTTTTCCACAAATTGCTAGTAGAATCTAGTAAATCCTAGGAAGGACTTTACTCTAGTTATTATCTTAGGAGCGGACTAGTTTTAGAGTACTTTAACTTTATTAGGGTCTACCTCTAAGCCTTTATTAGTAAGGATATATCTAAGGTTATAGGTATAGGTTATATAGAATTCGCTTTTCTTAATATTAGCCTGTAATCTAGTAGAACAAAGATACTTAAGGACTTTTTAAATATAGTCCTTATAAGTAGCAAGGTTTTTAGAGTAGATAAGGATATTATCTAGATAGGTAATATAGAAGTTATCTAAATAATCTATTAGTATATTATTTATATAGCGCTAATAGGTTGTAGGTCTGTTATATAGCCTAAATAGTAGGACTTTGCATTTATAGGCACTATAGCTAGTGTAGAAAGTAGTGTACTCCTCTAAGTTAGGGTCTATTTAGATCTTATTAAAGGCAGCACAAATATCTAGCTTAGTAAAGAATTTTACTTTAGCTAGCTAGGATAATAGATTATCTATACAGTGTATTAGATACGCGTCCTTTTGCGTTAAGCTGTTAGGCTTATAGTAATCTACACAGATCCTAAGGCCTTTATTTAGCTTCTTAACGTATAGGATAAGAGAGGCAAATAGGCTCTAACTAGTCTTAATAAAACCTTTCTATAGGTGCTCTTATATATATTCCTTAGTAGCCTAGAGTTCCTCCGCATTTTAACAATAGAGGGGACTCTAGTAGTTTAGAAGGGGTTCCTCTAGGACTATCTTGTGGTTATAAGGCTAGTAGATTAGAAGTTTGTTAGCCTTAGCCTTGTTAAAGACGTCCTAATAGGAGTTATAGTTAGATAGGAGCTTCTAATCTAACAATCTATAGTTAAGAGCGTCCTATTTAGATAGGGTTTAGATCCTACACTTAA